AATGATTCTCTAACAACCTACTGTGTCTCATCCATCCAGACACAGTTGATGATCCATCTGGATTTTTACACACCCCAATCTGTCAAATCACTCGGACTCGTATTTGGACAAAGGACGGGGCCCAGCAGAGGACAAAGCTTTTGTTTTTGGAGCTAATGGTTCAGCTGGTCAATTCACAGATTATTACAAAGACAATCAAGGTAGCTGCAGAGAATGTTGCTGTAATTTGGACATCAGACGGCACCAGGCTGGCAAAAGTATAACAAGTACAAATGTGTGTGTTTCTGTTGAGCTGCCAGTTGTTGTTGCTTTCCAGTTGCCCACTCTGACTGAAGGTCATCGCCTGCGTGTGACCGAGTTCCCTAGCTTTCCACAAACATCCGTTGGCATCAGTGCGGAGCGCTCGGTTGTGTCCTGAATCCTGGCCAGTGACCCTGTCATACAGCGTGTGTATATGGTTGTGTGTTCATGCACGTTTAAGCCACAAGTCCAAGTGGTGGCCGGTGCCCATGCAGCATCAGCAGCAGGACACACAGCACCCCCTGAGGAACACTGCACACAGCTGGAGCCACCGCTGATAAAGCTGCAGCCAACAGCAGCCCTCCTTATACAAAACACACACCCAAAGATAAAACTGCAAACACACACAATGTAAGGGAAAATACTCACAAGCACGCACACACACACACACACACACACACACACACACACACACACACACACACACACACACACACACACACACACACACACACACACACACACACACACACACACACACACACACACACACACACACACACAGTCATGGAGGGATATGCACTCACACATCAATGATCAGAAAAAAAGAAATCACCCAACGTGACTTGGAACACAAACACAGTCTCCAAATTGCATACCTTCACTTTCCTGTTGTATACTCTAATGTGCAAACACGCAAACACACAAACACACTTAACAAGCAGACATCTTTTCCGCTACATCATAATTTCAATCCCTCCCCTCCCATACACAACAGCAAATTTAAGGGAAAGGGAAATATTTCTGCTAAATTAGTTATGCTAATTACAGAGCAGTTCTCCGGGGGAGAGACGGCGCTAAATGGCTTTTAATTCTTTTTGCCTGGAAAGAGACGTGGGAGAGAGCCAGACAGAGAGCGCAGTGAAAGAAGCACAGAGCACAGGCAAAAAAATTAATAAATAAATTAAAAATTAAACCAATAAACACACAAACAACTGGCGTTAAATTTTGCCCGGTGACACAGCAACAATAAAGTAACAGAATTAACAACTCAGGGGAAGAGGAAGGAAGCCCAAAGCAGGCGACCGGCCAGACAACAAGCCGCCTTATCAGCTCCGGGGGCCCCGGGTCCCCCGGCCGACAGCGAGAGGAGAGATCGACGGTAGGAAAAAGCTTTGCTGCTAACTTTGTGTCCTGTAGCCTTTGCCAGCGGTCACACAGCGATAACGGGGCATGAGCAGATAGCACACAGCACTGTACATGAAGGGCACCAGAGGAAAGTTCCTCTCTCACACTTCAACCCTTCAACAAGCACTTCCTCACTACACTAATGCTATACAGTAGACACCATATACTGATGCTGACAGTGCACTCTTGTGGCAGTTTGAAATTGACGCATTTTTATACTCGTACAAAAGTGAAACGATACATGATACAGCCAGGGTACAGCACCTTCTGCCAATGTCAAATTTTAAAACTTAAAAAAAGCTTGTAAAACACAATTTCCCAGTTTTTTCTTTTTTCTTTTTGGCATCAGGTACATCAGGTGCTCAAACGGGCAAATCTTATTTAGAAATAACAGGTGCAGGTGAATAATTGTGCACATTCATGTTACATAAGAGTTTATTATTTCCCACAGGTGAATAACTGCAATCCACTCTTCATCACAATAATACATCAGATCCCTGAACTGAGCTGAAATAAAGCTGCAGAATTGTAGATTGAGGAGATAACAGGCTACAGCTGAAATTATACTTTCCATGTCCACGGATGCGCGAGGGTCCATGTGATGTTCGTCATCAGAGGGTGTAGTCATGGGCTCTCTACGGACATCCACATACCTCAAGTTTGTTTTGACCACTTGTCCACACACTTGGTCCAAATGGCTACTACACTACAACCAGCTATGGAATACTTGTTGTAGTAGGAATTAGTCTGCCCATGTGTGGGACATGTCCTCCGAGCGGACTCCGAAAAGTAGTATAAAGAGAACTACTACATGTCCGAATATATTCAGGCCCTAAGAGTTAAATCCCTAGACTGTAAAACTGCATAATGTAGTGTGTGTGTGACGCTCATCGGGTCGGCTCTGGCCATCGCCACTCCTAGCAGAGCCCGACTCTGCCGGCTCCCGGCTAATTTAAAAATGGGCAAAGACGTGGAGCGTGTGTGGAGCTGAGGTTGGCTGAATGAAGCCTGGCTGCTGAAACCAGAAAACATGCAACGCCACCCACCTGCCACTCAAAGCGGCCATGCTCTTAATTATTTATAACTTCAAGCCTTGAAACGGGTGAGAATATAATAAAAATGCACCCCACATACAGTGAACAGGGAAATTAGCTATAGCTCCCAAAACAGTCTTTGTACCAGGATGTAAACAAGTTTACTTCTTACTTTTTGAGCCAGCCTTAAGTGGTGATTTAAGGAACTGCAGTTTTTGGCACCATTTTTCAGGCCAGGAGGTTGCTGCTTGGTTAAATCCAATGTTTCTGCAGAACTAACAGTAATTAACCCTTGCTTTGGTTTGACACCAACCGGTGTGACCTGTTGCCAACACAGCCACCTCTTTAGTTTCCTAGTGTCTTTAGATCACTATGAGCTGTTTGGGCTGGTACACACACAGTGCAGCCCATTTTATTTGAGTCTTCTCAAAAAACACCAAAATGGCTGTTCTACTTGAATCAACAAAAGCATCCACTGACATATATATATGCTTTCCTTGGTATTCTGAGCAAACTAGAGATTAAACTGTATTTAGCAAACCGCAGTTTGAAAATGACTCATATACTTGGCAGCTGTTAATATACCTGGGTGGTACATCTAAGTGTAGCCTGTGTGTGGGAAACACTTGACTTGATGTAACATGAATATATAACTGAATAACATAAACTGAGCCAATAGTATCAGAAAACAGCATAGTTCGATTTTTTGTCCCTGAATTTTCGTGTTGATGTGTACATTTCTCTCTGCTTCCTGTCAATCACCTGCAGGAAGACATAATCACAGCATGATGTCTTACGAACTGTGCTATCACACTTAGGCTCTCTCGATGTGCTGGGACAGCAGCTCCTTTAAAGCACTGGTTTCTGCATACTTCTTATTTAATATTAAACAATCTAATTACAAGACAAATTTGCTTAATGATTGGGGTAAATGTAGAGTATAAGTAGACAACATTAAAAAGGCTTGAACTCTAAATGAAATATATGCTATAAGGGCTCATTAAGAGACAAAACATAGGGAGAGTTATTTTCATTTTTCACAAATATATTACTCTAGAGCTCATAACAGAAATTATTAACCATGCAGCTGCACTGGAGTTTAATAAGCAGTGAAAAAGGCATGAGCTGACAGAGAAATGTGTGGAAAAGGATTGCTCTGAATATATTGGGATATTGTTCCATTGGTCACCTTCCCTAAAATGTGACAAGAAAATTGGTACAAACATCTTCTCTGTGCTCACATTTAAACATAAAGCAAAGGAAGCAGCTGTTGTTGAATAGCGTCATCTAACAGGTAAGAACACAGCTCTTGTGAATGCCTTTAAGCGAGGTATTAAATCTGCTCCATTGTATAGTAAGACAACACTACAGATGTATGCAACTATCAATTGAATCCACTAACACTATCCTACAAAATATTCAGAAGCGCAACAATTGAATGAATCTGTGAATCAATATTACAAGAGGAACTCATTGATTTGAGGACTACTCCTCAACCTCTTTGTTTTCCAGCTGTACAGCGTGTTTACACAGTTTGTGGCTGCATCCTGATTTCAACTAGACTTGACAGTTGTGCCCTTGATGTGGGAAGCTGCAAATGTTCTCACGTCTTACAACTCTTTTCCAACTATCACTGCAGAGGAATATATAACACCAAATGCACTGCTGGAGGCAACCTATCATAACAATAAAATGATGCATGGTGTTTTAACAGTTTCTCCTCTCCATAACAAATAAAAACAGCAGCAGTTCTCATGTTGAAATTTATTTCACAGCCAGTGGAGGGGTTTAATCAAGGAAGGTATGTCTTTAGAAAAACAATATAGGTTATTGGATGTGGAGATGTACTTTTTGAAATTAAAGATAGTGCAGATTTGGATGACAACAATATTTTCTCTGTGACACCATCAACATTTCACACAGAAAATATGGAATGACTCATAAAAAAGTTCCAGAGTGAATCAAAAGCCAGACTATGGCCGCACTGATGTCATGATGTAATCATCGAGCCACATATACACCAACGCTGTCCTCGGGTTATGCTACTGTTAGGCTTCAGGGAGCTTTTATAAATCAGGATCATTGCAAGTGTCCTAGGAATACAAACAACACACATACACACACCGATGCACATACACAAACATTGTAAATTTAAATCTCAAAGCATCTCCAAACGCCGTTGCTTGAGCATCCAGTTCAGGCTGCGCCCACACAAAAGCAAACACACAAACCCGTAGTTTTATTGTTGGTCCCTCTCCAATATGGGGCTATAAGCAGTGGCCAGTTTTATGTCTTTTAATTAGTACACTGTCACCGTAGCAGCCTCCAGCTGGCAAACAACCACCTCCTTACACACATACATAAACAATGGCAGAGGTAGAAAATAAAGAGGATTGTGTTTAGTGTGGAGAATGTGCTACAGGAAGTCACATCGCAGGGTGTCAACCATACGCCTTCATTATGACAGGTAAACTGTGTGTGTGTGTGTGTGTGTGTGTGTGTGTGTGTGTGTCTGTGTGTTAAGTGACACGTGTGTACCTGAAATTAGGTGCAGAGGCCCATTCCAGAGCTAAGCATGCCAGGTCCACAGCAGCATACACCAACAGGAAGAAAATGGTCACAATACTGGCGATGGTGTTGAGCTTCCCAGAAAACAGCACCAGCTGGAAAGAAAGAAACAAACAAAGGAAGAGGGAGAAAAAGACAGAGGGAAAAGAGAGAGGGGGATTAACATTCACAGCAACACAGTGAACACAGTCATTCCAAAGTGGGACAGAAGAGTGCATTTTAATGCCTTTTTCATATGACCTTTTCCAAAATCCACCTATTCAATAATGTAAAAATATGAAGTCAAACACTTGATTTGCATGTTCATTTGCTTTTGAGTGAAAATAATACAATGAAACATCTGATTTATAAGTAACTGACAGTGAGGTAAACAGTTTACCTCACTGTCATCTACCTTCATATGCAAGGAGGCAACACAAGCTCCTGTATCCGCCTTTAACCCTCCTCCTGTATGTGTGGGAGTTAAAGACCCCTCTTGATATGAGTTAAGACATTTAAAACTAGTCTGTTTTGAATAACAATTTGTCTCTTTATCTTTAATATGTTTTTTCCCACAAACGAATTTGAATTATCTTGTTAAAAATTCTTTGAAACATCTCTTTCTCCCTCCCTGATGTCATAAATCATGCTTGTGCATACATGTGTCAAACAAAGAAAACAGAAACCTTCTCTCTTAAGCCGATGAATGTGAAAAACATCCTGTTAGTGCCGAACTCTGCACAGTGATGCTCAAACATCCAAGTGAAGTTATAATAAGTGAAACAAATTATGGAGTGGAGCAGGACCTTAAAAGGACCAGTGTGCAGGATTTAGTGGCATTTAGCAGTGAAGTTGCAGTCTGTGAAGTGTGTAGCAGAAACTACGGCTGCTTCAAAAGTCAGCGGTTCAACATGGAGGACTCCATGGTAGGCGACCTGTGGCATCTGTAGATTAAAAACTGCTATAGTTCCTATATTCAGGTGATTAAACACTAATGAAAACATACCCATGAATATTATATTATATTATATATATATTTCTGCCAGTAGAGCCCCCTAAATGTTACACACTGGACCTTTAAAGAATTCTGACTCTGCCAACTCCTAGTGGTAGTATCAAAGGAGACACTGTGGCAGACAGCTGTTACCCTGCTGTATCCAACCCCCGACTAAATGATGTTTGTTGATAATTTACTGAATCCAAATCCAATATTGAATGCACTTATCAAATCGGAATCCTTTCCAATCCCTTTGTAAGTGAAGTTAAAAATAACTAAAACTCAATTCAAGATTTAATGCAGATCTGTAATCTCCTTCTAAAACGTGATAGTTTTTAGTGGTAGCCGATTAAAGTTCAAATCCTGCAGCTGAGCAACTAAAGATATAAAATGTTGCACTTTTTTGACAAGTTACTTTCTCCAAATGCTGGAGATCCAAAATTACATTAGTCGGAAGACTAGAAAGGCGCTATACAAGTACAGGTCCATTTACCATCAATTTAACTGGGAAATTCCCGATGTAACCCAATCAGACTTGTTATCATCAGAGTTTAACAGATTAGGGTATTTTGTAACCTAAATGGAACCCGTTATCAGATCCCAAACACTGAGAATTAACGGTAGAAAGCCAGGATTGTTCCCTTTTGTTTAAACTTACTCCATCAAAATAATTTGAAAAATGTTCTAATTAGAAATAAAAATTCTACACATAGGGGCTTTAAGTAAGCTATTATTAAGGACAGAGGTTCCCCAAATTGTTCAGGTCAACTGAGTATTAGTCCATTTTGGTCCCAAGAAACCTCATGAATATTTTATGCTGTTAGATATGATTATCTGTCTGCACTGAAGCTGGGAGGTGAGAGCAAGGATAGATTTGACCAACATCTAGGGAGCAAGACACTGTTAAAATAGAATTGTTCCAAACTTCCTGGGGACCAGTGTAGGACCACAGGTGGTCCCCAGGCTCCACTTCGGCAGCCACTGATTGAGGCTAATGTTCAGTGTTAATTAAGATGGTATCTAGGCTGCTGTTCAAGCTGCATGCAGTCAGCTATGTTAGCTGCAGCTGCTACGTGACAAAACAGCCGAGCAGAGTTACGTCTAGAATTCTCAGTGGCTGATTTGGAGGGAGAGTAGTACATCCAATCATACTGACAGCGCATGAATGTATGAGATTCACCCTCCCGCTCTGACTGAGGAGTGGTAGGTGCCTTCTAATACAGGAGGGAAATGATGACCCCATTAGAAGTACTGCTCCCTGCCATGTTCTCTGACATCAGAATGTGTGAACAGGGCTGCGTGTGGCTCACTGAGAGTTACCACAGATGTGAAAGCCAAGAATCAAAGCAGCAAAAGCTTCCAGCGTTTCATCTACATTACATTCTTTGTATAATAACCACGTTTATGGTCACATTTATTTCGGAGGAAGTAGCAAAGATTTGTGTCAACGTCGTAGAATTTTGTACTTATAGCTGACTGATAGCTACATTGTTTGCATTTTTTTGGCCACTTGAGGGCTGTGCAATAAAGTGTAAACACAAGCTGGACATTACAGTACAGCATCATCACCTAATAAAGCTGCTTTGGTGAATTTGATATCAGGCGTCAAAGAAAGCATCTATGGGTTGCATCAAGTCCTCTGGTTTACCACAGCTCCTTCTATTTGAGCTATTTGGAATAATACTTGTAAATACAGTTCACACCAACATCAGAGCAATAATTACTCCCAAGATTCTCGTATGTGTTTATGAAAGCTTTTATATATTTGACTTAAAACTAAATGATATCAAATAATCTGAAAAGTAAACAAACTGAAGTCCATTATTCAACACCCTAATTTAATGCTATATCGGTATGTGCATTGTTTTTATCCACACAGTCAGCTCTGCCCATCACAGAACTGTGGCTTAACTACTGTGTAAATTATACTCGTATCAACAATCGCATTTTGAATTGTGCAACGGCACACTTTCAAGTTATAACAATGGAAATCATCCCCATCACCACCTTCTGAACCACATGAACCACACCTTCCTACTTTGATGGAGGAACACAAAGTGTGCATAAACATTACATTTTCAGGCACAGGCCATCATTAGTTCTTCTGTGCTGAGTGAAACATTTTCTCTGGATGTTTCATCATCATCATTAAGTGTGCTTTCTTTATCTGTATGCAAGCTGCTGGGACTGATTGCACAGAACATGGAAGTGACTACTGTACTGTACCTGAACAAGTATAGTTTTTCTGTCCAATTATCGCACGTTTTACGATTGGCTGTTGAGAAACTCCGCTGGAGTTTATTTTTCTGAGCTCAAGGGCATATCATTGGTATTTATGGAGGGGAGAAAGTAGCAACTCTGTGATCACTTAACTTTGTGACTATGAAGCAGAAGTAAACTGAAGGGGAGAGAGAGGAGAGAAGGTAATGATGGGGAATTGTGATTAATGATGTCACATTATTGACAGGCAGTCAGGAATACGGAGAAAATGATGAACTGAGGGAGCAATGAGGACGGAGAAGAGGAGAGCAAAAGAAGAAGATTGGAAAAGATGAGATGGGAAAAAAAAGAGGGGAGAGAAAGAAGGACAAGTGAAAAAGAGAAGATGGGTAAGAGAGCATCTCTGACCTCTGGCAGTCAAAGTCAGTGGGTGTCTCTCCAGCGCTCCCCTGGGAGCCGGCTCTACCAGAGCATTAATTAGCCATTAACTCAGACACAGGCCAGCATGGACAACTGCTGTCATAGCGCACAAAGCGCGTGTGTGTGTGTGTGTGTGTGTGTGTGTGTGTGGTGTGTGTGTGTGTATATATGTGTGTACTAAATCTCTCCTGGGTATGTGTTTGTGTGACCACTTGAAAGACTGTTTTTACTGGAAAGCAGTGTGCATAAATTCCACTGAAATAAGTGGGCTCACACAGACACTTTTATTAAATAAGAAGAATTGAGTGGAAGCGGCTGAGTAATGCTTTGGACTACAAAGCCAATGCTTTTCCCGAAATGTCTCCAGGTAACAACTGGACAGTGTGTGTGCTTGGGTTCGGCTAATGAAGAGATTAGTTACAGTAAATAAATATTTTCTGAAATAGGTTTATCGAGAAATAATCAAGAAAATGTATACTATTTTGCCCTCAGCCTGTATGATCAATAAACAGATTTTGGGTGATTATTGTAGCTGCTTTTACTATTACATAAAAGTTATGGTTGTTTAAAGGACTTATGCTGAGGTGTACCAGTGACAGTAAATATTCAGCCTAAACTCTAAAATTCAACAGGCAATGCTCTTGATTCCACAAGCACTGCAGTGTGTCCCAGAAGTGTCTCAGCGAACCCAACCACATTGAGCAGCACAGAGCAGATCACATTGTCAGGAAGTCAGATACAGAAATCGCATTGAGAGTCCGAATTTTCAAAATAAAATACCCCGTATGGACTGCGGATAAAGTGTCAAGCTACATCTGCGTGGCATAAGGCCAGAAAGCAATCATTCAGAGGCAGGTCGGAGGAATTTGACACCACAGACAATGATAAGATAATTTTGGAAGAAGAGAAACACAATGTTTGTATCCTCTTAAGGACAAAATACACAAGTCAACAATGCCAGGCAGGCATGGCTCTCTAAAGACACTCCGCTTCTGAAATGCTCTAGGTGGCAACTGAAGACACACAGATCATAAAGCTGTGCCCTGTAGAATTTTGGGGTAAGGAATGCCCCAAAATTGGGCATCCAGTAACTTCTTCATAACATTTGTTTTCCCTGAATTGGGTCTATTAGCTAATCTAATTTCCTCCTAATAGACCATGTAGCCCTGTCAAGTAGGTCAACAATACAAATAGTTACTTTTAGGTATTAAATGAGAAATAGTTCAGTTGTGGTATAGCTATAACTAGAGTGGCGAGACTTGGTCAAAGCAATAAATAGCTTGGAGGCAAGCAGCACCTGAGAGGACAAGTTGTAAGTTACGGTGAAGACCCACTAGAAGTGAATAAATTGTGCATCAATGCCTTCACCACTTCTTGCTTGTTGCTGCGGGCATATCACATATGCAAGTTAGCGAGTGAGCTAGCCAAAATGAGTTTTTTTTCACTGGGTGGCTGGACTCACTCCTGTAGAGTAAGGAGCTCAACTGACTTGAAAGAAGTCAGTTGAGATGGTTTACGCTTCTGATAAAGACCTCCCTGTGGAGGTGTTCTGATCCTGTCCAACATGGAGGAGATCATGAGGTGGATTTGAAAATATCTGCAAATATTGTCGGCATTCGCATCAATTGTTGCAATCAAGACTGTGAATTCTTGGAGGGATTGAATACAACTGACTGGCATTATGTGCCATTTCAGTATCACATTCATTTGTGCCAGGCTGCATCTTATTCCTCGCCTGTCCAGCCCTATCCTACTCTATCTTCTCTTAACTTTTTCTGTTTTTCTTCTCCCCTTGTTCTTGCAGTTCACTTATTTTCCCCTTACTTAAAAGTCCCATAAAAGAAAGCCTTGGCTCGTGCCGCCCCGCTCCTCCTTCTTCCTTTTCAACCCTGCAGTGTGTGAGTGTTCACGGTGAGATTACAATCAGACTTTTGTCATCAGTGAATCATTCAAATGGCAGAGGAAGAGGCAGAGAGAAAGAGGACGGGAGAGTCAATGATCTCTGATGGCAGTGGCGGCGCAGCTAACGATTTCCATCTAATTGCTCCTCCTCCACTCCAGGAGAGTGGCAAGGGATGAAGAGAAGAGGACGAGCGAGGGACACAGAGAGAGAGAAAGAGCGAGAGAGAGAGAGCACAAATAATGACAAGTCATTCAGCCTTTAACACTCACCTCTGATAATGATGGGATAGTCAGGCCTATTTGCTCTTAAGATCCTCTTTGTCTCTCTATCCTCACCCTCCTCCCCTCTGCCAATATTTTCTCCTCAGTCTAAATTGACTTTTTTCCCCCACTTAGAAGACCCAATAGAAGGGGAAAAAAACACCACAGACAGATTTTTGGTCTTCTTCGGTCGGAAATTTTTTAAAAAGTGTCTGTTTAACTGTTATAATACTACTGTATTCCTGGCCTGTGTCTGATTAGTCCATGTCTGTTCTTGAACTATTCTTATTCTAATACTATTAATTTTAGCCCAGATGTGGGCTGCATCAACCATTGAGGATAAGCTGTCTATGTATTCTATAGTGGGGAAAAAATGAGCTACCACTCCCAACTAGATACAGTGCACATTCAACCACAACACACCTTCTCACTTGTAACAAACATACCCTTGTAACACCAAATACCTGTGAATTAAAACTAAAAAGGGACACAAATGCCTCTAATAATCAAGAATAACCTTAACCTGGGAGGAACTGGGAGAAATTTAGCTTCAAATCTGAACCTAGACAACCAAGTACAAAGGGATATTCTGTCTTGTTTTTATCAGCTGAGAAGTATCTCTAAAATCAAACCATTTCTGTCTGCTGCTGACCTGCAAAATGTTATTCATGCCTTCATTTCATCCTATCTTAATACTGGAACTACACTAATAACCATATTCAGCAGCACTCAGTGAAAGAACTAAATTGTCTTCAGTTGGACCCAAATGCAGCCTTTAATTGGAATTATTAGAAGAGAACACATTACTCCAATTTTAGCGTTCCTTCACTGACTTCCCTTTCCACAAGTCAGTTCAAAATTGTATTAATTACTTATAAGGCATTAAATGGATTTCCTCCAAGTTACATTTCTGACTGACTAAGTCCTTTAGTACAAGAGTGCTCTCTGGGGTCGATGGAAAAAGCTTCTCTCACAGTTCCTACATTTAAATTTGGAACTACAGGTGGCATGGTACTTGAAAAAGACGTTCACAACTCGCATTGTTACTTCGGCTTTTCAATAGTAATTTCATTACTGTCTCACTTTTACTTTGTTGAAGCACTTTGTAAGAAAAGTGTATTGATCCCATTCTTTCCATTTACTATCAGTTAAAAATCCAAAAGGTGATCTGCAAAAAATATAATTTGGAAGAACATTCATGGTTTGGAATCAACTGGCTCCCCACTCTACAAAATGTAAGCACCACACAGCTTCATCAAAGAATGGCTTTTTTAAAGTCACTGATGAGAGGAGAGAGGCAATTTTAGATGCAGAAAATGAAAAACAGCACCTTTCCCTTTTGTGAGATCTTTCTAGTGGCAAACAACACAATTAAACTGTTACATTAAAATATTCATACATTTCTGAGAAACTTTTTGAAAACTATTAACCCAAGATACTTCTGTGGTCCTGGAGCACTTTTTTGGAATGCAATAATCAACAAAATAAGTTAAAGAACAGTATAACAGGATGCAGTCACAGCAAACAAAGACATCAAACTGCCTAAACTGATCTAGTTTCTCCTGTGAATGAATCACTTCTGTTTGAAGGAAGAACTCTCTCGAGTTAAACAGGAGAACTTTCTGATCTTCCTGCCTGAGGAAAGTTTATATGACAAGGCTTCACAATCCAAACAACAGGAGCCTGGGCTGACTTTGTCCCACTACCTCGCCAACCTCGCATCTATTAGTCAGAAATAACTGTAGCTTGTTTGGAGCTTTTCTTCCTTCCCTTTGTACTGAGCTTCATTGCTCCCATAGCTCAGCAAGAATTTCTCTCGTTTATCATTTTCACTGGAATATTTACGTCTAAGGCCAGTGTTGTATCTGTATTCTTGACCCCTGAAGGCTTATATTTTGAGGCCCATTGATTGTAAAACAACAAATGGTAGAATACAATTCAAATCTTTTTCCTTTTAATTTAATAGAGCCAGCTTCTGAATGTTGTCACAATTCAGGGAAGCAGTGTCTGAAATTTGGACAAAAGGTACTCAGGGGAGAAATTGCTGTGTCTGAAGAAGAAATGTGATTTCTTTGTCCCTTTTCTCCTCAAACACCTTGGTTACATTTCTTTGCCTTTTCACTTTTCACCACATTAGATCAAAATAAAAGTACTTAATATGTCATCCGTCAATACCTGAGCAAATGTGATGCCCTACTTGAAAGAGGCTTTGCGGGGACAGTTTTATCAAGTATCAAAGTATCAGTATCATGTTTATTATCATCCATCTCTTCATCTCCCACTAACCTGCACAAGGAACCAGGAGATGAGCACTGATACCCAGGGGTTACCACTGTGGGACGTCTTCTTTGCCGGAGATAGCACCTTACCTGCAGGGATGAAAAGAGATCATGGTGAAAACAACATACCCTTCAAATTTGAGGGAATTATTAGCATCAAAATGACACTGAATATTCTCTAGCAGCAACTTCCATATAAGAGTATCGGTATTGACCTTTAAAACCCACATCAGTGAAAGCCTGGATGCATACATGGACAGAAAGGTTTAATCAAAGAAAGAATGTACGTAAGGAATTTACCACCACTCTCCATTACATGTCAGCAGGCAATTCTCCCAAAACTGGAAAATGTTGCACAATTCTGGATACATTGCGGACGTGGACTAACTGAAACTCACTCAAATAGATGTTGTTCACTCAATACTTGCACAAGTTCACACTTGTACAGTTTAACTTGAGCCCCTCTATTGACACCTCCTCCTCACTGCTATTCCTGACGATCTCTGACACTCACTGGACACAAGCTCCAAAAAAATATTAACATTTGGCATCACTTGGCATGCAACGTTTGCTGCCAGTGGACATTTTCTTAGTGAGTTACAAAAAATAGAATATGAAATAAGAAACAGAACTGATGAAAGCCTACAATGTGGTAAAGGTCTGTCGTTTTTCACATCCCATAAGAGCTCAGTCGTACAGGATTTCTAACAATTAATACCAGCTCCTGCAGATGCGCACAACCGCTTCTGCTTGCCACTGTAAATCCCATCCTGCGGGGTAAATGAGACATGTAATCCTTCTTGTTTTTTTAAATCTAAAAGACATGCTAAGGCCGTGTTTAAGCCAAAATTAGCACTGTGTGACAAAAACACAGACCCCTCGTTCATTTCACTGAGACTACAGTGTTGATGTAGAATTGCAGACTGAGAAAAAAAAAAAAAAAAGCTAAGTAATAAAGAAGTATTACAAAAAGCTGTTCCAACACAATGTGATGTGGCAAAACCCTGCACTGACCAATCAAAGGTTAATGAGTCTTAAGCAGTCTGAGATAAGATAAATCGTTTTAGCACAAAGTTCTTTTTTTTGTGTTTCCACAGACAGAGTTTCTGTGCTGAGCTGCAGTGGAGGGCGTTAACACAAGGATAACTTTTTATACTAAAAAGCCTAACTCTGCACCTCACTTGACTGGATGCATTGACTTCAGATAAACTTTGGAATGCATTTTTGAATGAAATGAGAACTGTGGATTTGGATTATTCTATGTTTATGTTTAATGGTGCACATTCTTAGTAAATTACTTGTAAACTGAAAGGGTCGAGGCTGTGTTCAGACAGACAAGTGTGCTGTGTGAAAAACACAGCCCTCTTATTCATTTGAATGGGACCACTGTGCTAGCTCCTGTAAAATAATGCAGGGTCGGACAACAAAAAAGTTTCAAGTCTTTGCACTCAAGTCCCAAGTCAACACAGGTAAGTCCTAAACTTTGAGTTTTGAGTCCTAAACAAGTTACAATTCACACTCCACTAAATGTAATGCCACAACAAAACGAACGGAATGAAGTTATCTTTGGTATCATTTTTCCCAACTGGCGCTCAGTAACGTAATGTTAGCGCTTCATGGTTCTCTCCTGCAACTGGACTGGATGCTGTCAGATCGATTCAAACAACCTGGATGTGGGGAACTAAGTGTGGACTGGTAATGAATACTGTTATTAATGTTTTAGGAATGAAAGAGAAATTAATTGATATTCGCACACTTTATAAATAAGATTTTAATCTTAGGGCTTGGGGGAAGGTATCAAGTATTTTCCAGTCAAAAGGCTCAAGTCCAAGTGAAGTGAAGACACAAGTCACTGGTGTTACATTCCAAGTTGATTTGCCAGTCTTTTGTCATGTTATCAAGTTTAGTCTGAATTCATCAATTAATTAGAGTCATGTGACTCGAGTCCACACCTCTGTTAAAAACCAATGTACAGTGTTTTGAAATCTGACAAGTCATCAGACTCATGGATCTATCACTTCAACTGGCCTCCCTGGATCATATTTCATCAGATCACCAGCACCTGAAACAACACATTCTATTGTGTATTTGTACAGTCTGAATACCCGCTAATACTACTAAACTGCAGTAAAATAAAATAAAAATAACCCTCAATAAATGCCTGGGCCTGCTTAAAGTTAAAGAAAAATTAAAACAGCTTCATCGTATGGCCAGAGAAACTAAAAGCAGATTAAAACACATAGATTGTGCTCCTTTTTCTCTTATATTTCATGTTGTTTCCTATAGCAACAGATATAAACCAGATTATAGAACATCAGACCTGAGAGCAGCAGCGATAATGTTACAGTTTACAGATCAGATCAAATTTGAGGACGTCAATTTCTAATGTTACTGACATTTAAACCAAATTCATGTAATTAACTACACGTCTAGTCAAGAAAAGAGAGAGCACGAGAGAGGGAAAGCGAGTGGGCGGGCGAGACAGCGAGGCAGACAAACTAAGCTGACACTTTATTTCATACCTTATATGGCTGTATGGTTTACTGGAAGACAAAGCATTTACATACAGCCTCTCATTTAGTTTTTTCATACACAACATTTCATCTTATGGCGATGATGATGACTGTGTTGAAAGGATTGGCAGCTCTGTAAGGCCACACATCCAGACTGAAACACAGGCCCAACAACAGAGATGGAAGAAGATATGGGCGGGGGGGGGAGAAAGGAGCAACTCAAAATGGGGGAGACTGGAGGTGGGGAGGAGGGAGGTGGGGGCTGGTGGAGAGGGAATCCGAGTTCAAGACTAAATTTCACAGCTGATAAAGGACTGGAATTAAATCAGCGAGACTTTTAAGTCAAATCAATGCGGCTGAGAGGAGTAGACTGAGTGATGGAGAGGATGGAGAGAGGCAGGACAGAGGTGAAGGAGTTAGAGATTAGCGAGTTATAGAGAAGAAAGAAATGGAAGATGTGAGGTATGGCAGGACAAACTCTGCAAGCGTGTGTGTTGGAGAATTGACGCATCCATCACTCCGTTTGCATAGGACAGTGGCAAGGTTAAGCTGTGAGCGGCGCGCATGAATGACAACAACGAGACCAACACACACAGAAACGCGTGTATGCAGTGTGGTCATACGAACCACTTCATCCCCCCCCTTACAAGAACATTACACATTTACAGTTCCACAGTCGTTGACTCTTAATTAAACAGATTAATCTAAGTTAACCCTTTGGCTGTTGGTGAACAGACAGCTGAACATGAGTCATCTGCTTCTGATCACTCCACAGTGGAACTCGCACTAATACAGTCATTTACCTCCCGTGACACACGCGCACACGGCTACACGCGCGGACAGAAACAGGCCAAATCAATTTGCAATAGACTTAAGAAAGGAGCAGAGGATGGGATAAGGAAGTTGCTCACAGTCATTAATAATGACAAAGCAGCAGCAGGCAGTGTGGATTCACACAGCGAGGCAGGGAGGGATGGAAATCACACGAATGCTGCGTTCACTTGATATGGGAAAGACTGCGGAAATAACTGCATGGTTAACACCACAAGTTTTGCTTTAAAACTTTCAAGAAGCATAAATTATGTTGCTTGTTGTTTTATTGGTTTCTTTAAATAAAGCAGACAGTCTATATATCCTTAAGGGTTCAGGATTCTTGAAATGAATCCAACGTCTCATAAAACTACGGTAGCCGAGGACAGCCATGCTTACAATTTTTTTTTTTTTATCTTGTAATCTCGGGAAAACAAAAGATTGAATTCTCCAGATAACGAGATAATCTATCCCAAGAAAACGACTTTTGCTTTCTCAAGATCACGGGACAATTATGGAGAACTTGAAAATGAGTTAATTTTATGAACTGACTGTAGGGGAGGATTCATAGCTGAACTGAACAGAGTTGTTACCAGACTGTACATCTGAGAGCTCATTTAAGCTATTAATTTCTTGGCAATGTGATGCAATACTGACCAAATACATGAGGAGAAGACTGAGATTTATTGAATGTCTTTGTAGTCTAAATGTAATGCATTACACAAATAGTGACATGGTCCCACACCTTCAGACAGTCTCTGTCTGGAAGTATTGAAGAATGGAAAAAAGTAATCAAAACAATAATGACAAAAGACAGCTTGAGAGAGAAGTCTGGCCAGGGACCATTGTTGCATGTCATTCCCTGTCTCTCTCTCCACCCATATTTGCTGTCACCTCTGTAGTTGGCTATTCAATAAAAGGCATAAAATAACAAAAAACATCACGACATTAAAAACCAAAAACCAAAAATGTATTTGTTTTATTTGAAGTAAATATATTATTATGACAATCCCTATTTAGCCTTGTTGTTATCTAAACTTGCTGGTGAGATTCAGAAGTCAGAGATATCGGGGTCAATCATCAAGCTTTTAGTTCCTCAGTAGAACATACTGTATAACTAATTTTAATGAAAGTGGGTTTTATCACGCATCTGTGTCGTAACAAAAATAAAATGAATCACTCCGCTTCTGCAAGAAAAGTGCATCAAAAGGAAAGTCTGTGATAGATGCTAATTTGCCTTGAACGCTTGGAAGCTATAAGTTTTGAGATAAGATTTTTTCCAGTGTGTCTTGAAACAATATTCAAGTGCAGTCAGTCTTTGCCTCAATCCACTGGGAAATTTATTTTACTTGCTTTAAGAGAAGGATTTAAAACTCAAGGTTTGGTTGTTCACTTATTGCATTTACTGAAACTAGAATGGGCCTTCCTATTTAAAGTGTTGTGGAGTACTTTCATTTTCCAAGAATAATACAATTTAAGTATTAGTTAGTTAGTAAGTACCAAGGGGCTAAATTAACGAGAAATTAACCTCATATAATATTTAACCTCATCGAGTCCTTTAGGAATGCGTTAAAAACCTGGAAATGAATTAGCATTTTTGCACCTCCATTTCCCTCGCCTCAAAGTCAGTGGGTGTCTTGGTTAGATTCCTCAAATAAGGTCTGTGGATAACACAAGCTTAAGAGGTTTTCATCTTTTGTTATACAACATAAAATACATCAATAAATACCCTGCCCATGACTTTTGAAACGTTTACGCGTCTTAGGCGGTTGCTAACAAGTGGCTAAATGAGACTCCAGAGGTTATTGGTGACATTAAATGTCATCATGCTGAACACTTCAGCGATGGTGACGTTGAAGTTGGGTGACCGTGGTGTAGTTTCTTTACAGCCTAAAGTTAGCAGTTGACTTCTGCTGATTGCATTTACGCCTCGAACATCATAAAAGTGGTGTTAATTTTTGGAATATCATCTTGCAGAACAAAATGTGTAAGTATCTTTTTGTGGCCACAGAGCGTATTTTGCAATGATCCAAACTTTTTAGACTTTTTGTCTACTGAGCTTGTTAGTTGATGGTGGGGTCTCAAGTATTTGGCCAAAACTGAGATGATGTCATTAGTTTTTGTTTTTAACCTTGAAAAATGTGTAATATTTAGATGGGTTACACAGAGCTTTAAAATCAAGTCTGAAAAAAGATAGTTAAGTGGACCCTGAGTCAAGATATTTTTTTCATACATCAATCAAATGGTTTGGGGTGTCTGAGGAGACCATCTGATGTCTTCATGAGAAAACCCCCCACCCCTATTAATTTGAACGTTTTTAATGATGTAATAAACATTAAAAAAAATAGGCCTATTTCACTTTGTTCACTGAAATGTCATCAGTGTTGTTCGTCTCTACCCAAAAGCCCATCTGTCTCTCTCCCCCCAACAAGAACTAACAGCAGTTTCAGAAGAAATGCCTCCCCAGCAGGAAATGTTGTGCGACCTACCAAACAAGTCGTCCCTGGCCAGGGCGTAGAGGATGCGTGAGGCTCCGATGAGGTTGCTCATAGCAGCGGATAGAGTGGAGGAATAAACCCCGATGGTGACAAAGGGGTGCCAGATGTTGATGTCTCTTAGGAAACTGTAATCCCTCTGAAGCAGGACACTGTAAAGGTTTGGAGAATACAATTCAAGAGATTATTATATTATAACAACCATGCATGGAAGTCTGAGCTTCTCTACAAACCAAGCACCAAGAAAATCATTACATTTTTCAGTGTAAGCATCTTTAGTTTCATTTGATAGTTTTAAGTAGAAAGCCACAAATATGGGGAAACAATGAGATAAGATGTGAAAAGGCCACAACTGAGCAACAAAGAAACATACAATAAACTTAATATACTTATATATGCATAAAAGAAACCCGACCAGTTCATTGGCAGGGTTATAATCAGGTGCTATTAGTTTGTTATATCTACATTAAAAGAAGTTATGGAGCTGTTGCAATTGTAATTTAAGGTTAAAAAAAAAAACTTTCATCTTACAAACTCTTAAGCCAAAACAGAGGGAAAGTCTTATGGATGAACAGTGATGTCAACAGATCCATCTCCTTCACAACTGAGTCAACTCTTGATACAGACAGTTAAAAACCCCAGAAAAAGCTGGTCCCTGTGGACTATGAGCCGGGACTGTTTTGCCTAACTAAGTTTTAAAAAGTCGACAGCCATGCTAAGGTCTCTAAGAGGCTGATTTTAGGCACAGTGACGCTTTGAGCTGAATACTAACGTCACAATGACAATGCTAAGATGCTAACCTTTAGATTGCATACTGTTGACCATGTTCACCCTCTTAGTTTAGTGTGTTAGCATGCTACGATTAGCTTATTAGCACAGAACACCTGGAGCTGATGAGAAAGTCCTTTGTTTTGCAGGTATAAATAATATTAATGAATATATAAATATAAATATGAATAAGTATTATGTGTATAAAATGTGTGACCTGATAAAGGTGCCATCAGGTCACAGGGATCATCAAAGTTATTAAAATCATCCTGTGAGAACAAGAATGTCAGCACCATATTTCTTGGCAACCCAATAGCTGTGTGTTATTATAAGTTGGCAACACTCATGTTCACGTCTAATGTAAATAAAGAATGGGAGGGAAAACAAGAAAAAGAACAAATAATCTACATCTACTGCCACAACATAGCATGGCATGTTTCTACATGCAACAGCAGCATACAGAAGACACTCATCGTGTCTATAGCCATAAACAGATAAACTCATCATTATATTGCATTCATATCAGGAGATCAGAATCAAGTGGTCCGAAAGGTTGTGCGTCATTTCAAACTCATTTGTTCGTTGGGGGGGAAGAAAAAGAACAAGATTGAAGAGGAAGTGATGATTACTCTGCCAGGGTGTCTAATGATGAGATCCTGGAATAAGGGGCTCACTTCAGCGTGTGTGTGTGTGTGTGTAGGAGATGCTGTACTAGACATAAAGAAAGAGAGATCAGAGAGTACAAAAACCACAGCAGGGTGTGCATGATTGCGGCCTGCCCCCCACCTCTTTTCAATACAACGCAGCAAGAGAGAGGAGAATTAGAGTGCAAAGTATTTCTCTCTCTCTCTCCTGATCCATCTAAATCTCTGTGTTTCAATACACACGCAGACGCATACACACACACACACACACACACACACACACGCACACATCCAATCCATCTATTCCCCTCCCTCATCACCTCCATCTCCCTCATCATGTTTTTAAAACCCACTCAAGGTTTTTTTTTTTTTTCTGTCTCAGTTCACCCTCTCTCATTTTATTTCTGCTTATACCAGTGTCCACTCGCTCTCTCTCCTTTTCTTTCTTTCTCTCTCCTTATTTCTCTTGTAATTAAGAGTCTCATCACGTTTTCTTTCAGGTCCAGTGATTTTAATACTTATTATCATGGCCCTGTTAAGTATTGTTCACTCCATCCAAAGATCTGAGCACACTATTATTTCACATGGAGCCCGAGAGGCAGGCAGCACACACACACACACACACACACACACAGACTTTTGCATTACCACAAATCAACTAAACAAAGGTTCTGCGGAGAAGTTAACATCGGCCTTGAAATTAGGAAATGCCAACTACTTTGTTTATTCAGCGTGTGTGTGTGTGTGTGTGTGTGTGTGTGTGTGTGTGTGTGTTTTTGTGTGTGTGTGTGTGACGTGGGCATTGCAGTGAAAAGTTTATGAACCATTGCTTTAATCAGACTCTGACATATTCATAACACCAAAAAAAATGTTCAGTGGTCTGATAGGCAGGCAACCGCTTGAAAGGGGGAGTCTCAGTGTGTTGGTTGCAGGAAAAAAAGAAAGATGCTAAGCATGATGAGGAACTAAAGTGTGAAGTGAGTGATGATGTGGGTCAAAATGTATAGGCTGATTATTAATTTCTCTGACGTGCAGCAGGAGCAAAATAAATCTGGAAAAGCTTGACATTTCCAAACTGGCTCTCAAAAACAAAGCCGCGCCAAACTAGGTGACAGCGATGACAAATGGTGTGTGTGTGTGTGTGTGTGTGTGTGTGTGTGTGTGTGTGTGTGTGTGTGTGTGTGTGTGTGTGTGTGTGTGTGTGTGAGGTTGTTCATGTGTTGGTCCTATAATGAACAACTATGTGTATTCTGTGTTTTATAATTTTGTGTTTCTTCCGAAGCCGAGTGTATTCATTGCCAAGGGAGTATTTATGTGGGACTGTGTATGTGACTCTGTGTGTGTGTGTGTGTGTGTGTGTGTGTGTGTGTGTGTGTGTGTGTGTGTGTGTGTGTGTGTGTGTGTGTGTGTGGTCTGAATAGTAATTATTGATCAGATCATCCAGCTGAAATGAGCTCTGCCATCCAAATAAAGAAGAGAACAAAAGCGCGAGGGAGCGAGTGACAGATTAAAGGAGCTCGTTTAGAGGCGAGCAGGAAACAAAGCTAAAGGACTAAAAGGAGCCCGCAGAGATTGTTTGGGCGATTGTTCTCGCTCCTCCCGGCCCGCTCCATCCTTCAGCTCATTTGTTTACCACCTTTATTCATGCCCTCATTTGTGTATTCATGCGTATTCATCTTTTTAATCCATCATTTCATGTGTTTGTGCTTCTGATAATTCACCAGCGCTTTGGTCGAAACATTATGGATTAATTATCCCCGATTTTTCAAACGGGATGAAAAATGAAGTGCTGACAAGGAGTGTTTGTGTGTCTTTAGGTATATTGCAACAGCTGTGTAAAATCTCACCACAAACAACGTTTATTCTGCTCGCTTCAGCTCTCAGAGGGCGAGGTCACTCCTCATCAGGGCTAACATAACGTCTCAGGATCATCTAGTTTAATGATCCTGAAGAAAAAGGCTTCACAATTGCCAATAAATGCTCAAGTGGGATCATAGCTAGTTACTGAGATGGCTCCAGCTTATGGCTAACATCACTGTTATGCTCATTGCACCATTATGTGACCATTTGTGTCCCTGCAATATGGACCTGATGGTCCTGTAAGTCAATACTCCGACTCGCTGTAGAATTCAAAGGTTAGTCGCTCTTATGGGTCTCTCCATCAACATTACAAGGACAGCATTTATTTGTACTGCATTTTTCTTGTGTGTGCCCCTTTCTCTGTGTTTGCAAACAGGGATGGGAGGATGTATAATATGAAAGGGGTCACTCATGGGGATAAACCCACAGAGAATCATCACCCTCTGTGGTGCCTTTTAGCCTATTTTAGCTCAGTGTTTCGATTTTCTGCCTAGCAAATTCAGCACTCATCAAACCTTTTCCCAACACTAGCATCAGACAGATGTTTCCCACTGTACATTATCTGCAGAGTGAAAAAGTTAGCCCGATATGGTTAAAGGAACCAATGTGTAGGATATAGTGGCATCTACAACCAACTGAACACCATCCGCGTCTGTATTTGACCAGCTGGGAATGAGAATGGGCTGTGAAGTGTGTAAGAGAAACTACAGTGGCTGCAAAACACCAAAGCCCCTATTTGGTTTGTCTGTTCTAGGCTATTGTAGAAACCTACAAACCTACCATACTGAGGTGATTATACACAACTAATACATAATTAATACATACTTATAGATGTTATATTGAATTTCTGCTCATAGATCCTCCTAAATGTTACACACTAGACCATTAAACTACTAACTACTACTGTTACTACTAACAGTCACAAAACGTTATAAAGCCATACTTTCCACTCATATCTTCAAACGTTTGATGTGAAAGAGAATGTATTCTAATTCTAATTCTAACTATTCTAATTATCTATTAACTCCCCCAGCTCTTTCATTCATTTCTATCTGCGGGATGTCTCTTGTTTTTCTATGACTCACTCTTTATGGAGTGTTTTCTCATGCCTCTGGGTGCATGGGGAGCTGTTTTCTCTCCAGTGCGTAATCAGTGCGTAGCCGTCGTCTATTTTTCTCAGCAGTCGTTTTTTTGTTCTTTTACAGTTTCATTCCCTCATGGTGTACATCAGGTAGAGTACCGTCTGTGCCATCTGTGTGCGTATGATATACTGTGATGAGCTATTGCCTATGTCTAGCAACAATCACTGCTGCCGTATCACTGGAAAGTCTGGGCGCGACTTCCCTGATAAAAATGCGCTTCAGGTACCACCAGCTCTCTAAAGACGCAAATAATTTTCTCTAAGTGCGTGTGGCTATTAGTGCAGTGTTTGTGAATTGGACTTTTTTTCAATGATGCTCATATGCATAGAAAGGCGGCAATTTTGCACTAAATGCATGCATAGTACCTCATTTAAATAGCCACAAAAAGCACAGCAACACTATTTTCTTGGCAGCGCAGTTAGAGGTGAATGTTGTGAATTTCCATGGCTTCCTTTTGTTTTATTTGTGCAGCTTTAGTGGTCACAAAAGCGTGCAATCCTTTTGTGAATTTTCCCCTCAATCCACTCTCGGTTGTACAGCTGTGTTACAGAGTGGAGGTTCTTCCCTTACAAAAGATCTTTGATGTGTATAGATACCATTGACTGTATATAGATACCAGCTTGCAGAGAGCACATAAACCCAACAACAGACTAGAGCGGCACAATTAATCATAATTTGACCGAAATTGCAATATCCAAATCGCAGAAGCAGCAATTGTTTAATTGATAAAGGGCAAAT